GACCAGGGCGTCCTTAAAACAGAAACGCAGCTTCGTTTGTTCTTTGTCCACAAGGATGGCATGTTCGAAACTCAGCGCTCAAAGAAAACGGGCGTTCGGTGAGTTTCATTTTGAGAGAAACGTGACCAAAAAGCGTGACCGAAACGGCCACCGCTACTGAGGTTAGAGAAGGAATGTATCTTTTACAACCCCTTTCAAGTGCAACTATACAACTGAACTGACAGACGGTGCGCTAAAGCGCTCACCTTTAGCTTCCACTGAGTCAATTCATTTTCGATAAAAACCCTGGTCAGCCTCAACCACACAAGTAGCTTCCCTAAGCGCCTCTGTAATCTTTGCACCAGGGTACTTGGTCAGGCAGCTGGGGGCTTGACAGGGGACGGGTAAGAGAGCACTCTCCAACCTATCTTGGAAAATACTTGATTCAAGTGCTATTGTGCCTCATTTGAACAAATCACACACCAAGTATCTGTGAATTCTTGTTTGAAAATCATTTGCAAATTTCCTTAAATTCAACCGACGACAGTTAAATGGTATCCCTTACTTACAGTAGAGTCAATCGCCATCGATCTATGAAACCTTGTTCTCTGCGTCCAAAAGGGTTAGGTACACACATTAAACTTAGCGTAACCCAGAACGGCTGGTCCAGAAGTCCCTACTGAGCGACAGCTTCCCAAAAATCAACCACTAATCATGCGTATTCTACAGGAGAGTCGTGGGCTTTCAATGTTGCTTGGGATACAAACTTTTCCATATGATATGCTGGATATCGGGTAGATTCATAACTATTTTCATCTAGTCTTTAACTTAAGCTGGGTCTTTCTCAACGAAATATCGTTACTTTTCTGAGATTTTGAGCGCAACGAGTATTATGGCTTGTTCAATTCATCAATTTACCGAAAGGACCCCATTTAATCCGCCCAAAACACCAGTAAGAAACAACGGCAATGCCATTAAAACCCAATTTATTCCCTCAAAGTCTATCTGTCTCTTCTTGTTTGTCCAGCCCTCCGTTTCTAGCGGGTGCAGTAAAGTTTAATGCAGTCTGTGTTTCATGGTTCATTGTTGGGAATTATTCGAGCTAAACGGTTTCCCAAATGAATGGAAGTTGTGTATATAAGTAGTACGTTTCACACCATGGCAACCAACACCCGATTGTTGACTTCGTTTCATTATGCTAAAGTTCACACTGCTTGACATTACCCACACACTTGAATCATTGTCCAATTGGCATGAGTTCGTGTGTTCCAATCAGTCTGTATGAAATTTTCCGAACTTTTCTCGTGTATTTCCGTGACACAACACGCTACACATGAGACTACTCAAAACCATTCGACAGCCTACCATCCGTTTCGTCCTTCTGGAGGCAATATCGTACGGCACATTCATTCGGAAGATACCGCAGACCAGAAATTCCGTTCCATCTTAACACAAAATTCATTTGCAAATGAGTGTACTTCATCAATTGTTCCCGTGTACTCTGTATGCGTTATGATGGGATGGTCACAGCTGTTCCATCCTATCACCCGTAGTCACACAACTACAAGACAATCGGTTGACTTTCGTTGTTCAATATGGACTGGTACATCTGTGAACTTCACATCTGTTACAGAGGATGAACTATTCGGTTTATGTGTATTTTCTTGTTCCCTGTTCGCTTTGACGCCGAACCGGGTTAGGTCTAATTTAGAGTGGTGGATCATCATTCTAGTCGGCTTCCTCTCAATTTCCATTTGGTTATGAGGCTTTAGTTACGATGCCAGATTGTTGGTGGGGTACTCGTTCGACACAATGAGACATCGAATAGGTTCATTTCCAGCAAATCGTGAGAAATTTCATCCACGCATTTCAATTCATATCACCAGCCGTCTACTCGGAGGACGGCACAAAAGTATGGCTGAAAGTATGTCTCCGGCTGCAAGAGAAACGCCCCAGTTGAACGTGATTTTGACCGGTCGGGACGGAGCACACTGTATTTCAGAATCAAACTTCTTAGAAAGGTGAAGAGCTCGTAAAGCAGGCGTCTAACCACGTGACAATGTTTATAGAAGATCGTTTGGTCGTAAATTTGCTTCCGTCGTTTGACAGGAAAGCTGCCCCATAGGTAAATTTATTGCACCGTCGTCCACCCAGATTGAAAGTATAAATTTCCGAACAGCGCTTTTTATCTAGGGTGAATTCAGCCACATCCCCAAACCACGTGACTGGTGAAGATTGCGAACCATCCCGTGTATATGACAACGGAGGCAGAAAAGTCTGCGTTCTAGTTGATGACACGCGTTAATTTAGGGTATATAAACCAGCCATGAGTTTCTTCTTTGATGATAAAGTTAGGAAAGTATTCGAGAAATACACGCATTTGCACATCAATTTGGCTTTCACGAGAGACTCAACTGAATTTCTCGTTTATGATGTCCTCCAGTTGAATGTGCTGCACACAGGCCACCTCATGTTTCAGTTGACACGATATTCGAGATATCGCAGTATATTTCCGTAGACGAAACTACTCACAAGGTTGCTGAAAACTCTTCGACAGCCCACGATCGGTTTCACCCTTCTTGGGTTAACCTTGTGAGTTGTTTCGTTTAGGAAAGTATTCCTGCCATCATATGCGGTCATTCAGGCGTTCTGGACATCAATGGTCTTTGCGATGAAGGGGGGGGGGGACTATCAGCCAATCGGATTCCAGCACAGCTTTAACAGCGTGCGCTACAGTGAACTCATGTTTTTTTTTCTGGTTTCACAGTAGGACGCATAAGAACGCTTGCTTGTCCAACGCGGTTGACCCTGATTATATCTCACCCAGGCGTTCATCTGTTATTGCGTTATTCCTCAGCAGCGGAACTAGACGGTTGTTAATTCCACTGCTCCAAAGTGACGATGTAGAGGATGGAGCACGTAGCGAGTATCACTGTTAGCATTCTGGTAATAAAAAATAATAAGGTAATCGTGCGGCTATAACGACATTTGGGTGCCTAGCTGCTATGCCACCCGAAGCAAGCACGGGGGTTGCCCGGTTTTCCAACCCCAAAAGAAGTCGGGGTTGGATTCGAACCAGCAACCTTCCCGTTTGTAAGTTCGCGCTTTACCCACCGAGCTATCCGTAGCTCCATTCGTGTTTGCCTCCTATTTTGCGCTAACATTGTTGGCCAACGTTTATTTGCCTTGTTCTATCGGACATCTCAGCCAGTCTAAAATTGCAACGCGAGATCATTAGACAAAGCACAATCAGTTTGCACCTAAGGTCCAACTCCGCTTGAATGGCATACCGCTCATCAAGTTGAAGACGAATCCTCAGCTATGAAGTTGGGTAACAGTTCACCGGTGTAATGAATATTGCAATGCTTATTCTGGATAAACGTATCCCTCGACAGCTGGTGTCAACGTCCACTGGTTTTGCGGGGTCGATCCTAGAGTACATACTATCCTCATTTAGTGGTTTACTCGACCTACGGGATGTTCATGCGAGAAGTGATCACTCGTGGGACCTGGTCGTTGAAGATCACGTCGGGTGAATTGCTTTATCAAGTGCGCTTTTTACCAGATCCTCTATGACCTGAAGACCGGTGGATTCGATTCACCCAGAGATTCATGAAGTGCCCACAAAGAGAAAACAATTGTACGGCGCATCTCCTTTACTCATTATGGATTCATTTACTTCGCTTTTTGATTCCGTTGTGGAAGTGGATTTGATCTGTGCCGAATGCACAGGAAGTACTGTTTCATTCATTTCACGAATCGGTTGTCAAGTTCGAATACGCAGGGGGCATCGTGTTTATCTCTAAAGACGGAGACCCAGTACAAGTACTCACAAAGTACAAACTCATGGTTTTGAATGTGCAGTCTCTGAACTGTGCGATTCAAGGACGGAATTAAGTCCGATGATGTTGGTGCACAAATCACGTTTTTCAATTTGCGTCACTTAGGATGTCTATTAAAGCCAAATACTGGGTCTCGAGGTTGGTGTGTATCATGCTGTTATGTTGTATGGTTGCGAGACATGACTTCTATGGACAGCTGATTTGAGGCATCATCGGGTTTCCGAGGTGTTCCTGGTATCGGATGGCGTCAACGAATGAGGCAGTTAGGAAACGGGTATCTGGTTGTGCAGCAGACACTTCAGTCTAGCACCATCGCCTGCAGTGGCTCGGCCGTGTGCTACACACAGCGAAAACATTGTGTGCCGAGATGGGTACTGTCCTCTGTGCCTCTCCCCGAACGGCGCAACCTGAGAAGTTGACAACGTGGGACCTAACAGAAGGGTGTGAAAGAGAACACGAAGAGTCTAGATGTTGTTGCGTTGAGCCTTTCAGTATGTGGTCCCCGTTGAACCATGGGATTTGCCAAATTCGAGATCGATGTCAGAATTCATTAAGATGTATAAATCTAGATTCCCCATTCGTCTCAGCGACGTCAGCAGCGGAGATTTTCTTCAGTCCTCTCGTCCTTCCCCAATAAAGTAGACAGTTTGGCCTTTTTCTCTTTTCAATGACCACCCGCCTTACAACTTTTGACTATTTCCCGTAGAGGCTCGCATGTGAATGCCTAACTAAATCCCCTGTTTTTCTTGTGTCTTTCGGTACCGTCGCATATGGTTTGCAAATTCTACCATATTTTTCCGTCCAAAAGTGCTAGGATGACAGAACCCACAATGCTTATTCACCTGTTTATACCTTACCGCAAACGGTTGACTTTTCTCCCCAGTTCGGCCTACCGTGGTGGAAACGATAACAATCTGCCATGTTTGTGACGTGGCCCACTCACTCCGTCTCTGAGGTGTAGGATAACAATAACACTTTTGTTTAAAAAGCACATTTGACCGGCGCATTGTCGGAGAAAGTGTGACGCATGGTTTAAACATACCGGGCAAAGTAATGTCAGTTTCGTGTGCATCTCTGCCAAAGTTGCCGGCTGACTAATCGCTGACAGTCTGTCCACGGCAGTCCTACGGTGCATAGCGCCGGTGTGAGACATTGGTCCCACAGTATGTACCCTATCGGTTACACAACAGCACTTCGCTTTTGGTGTGCAGAAGTGAAAACAACTTGGGCTCCGGTATGACGTCTGCCACGCGCGCAACCAAACTTCACAGATAACTGGATAGTTTTGTGCTTCGGCTTCTCATTGGCTCGCGTGACTGAGTGGGTAAGGTCTTGGATGAACATTTTGACGACCAGCATTCTACGCCTGTCCCGTAAGAACATTTGCATGTTGGCGGACGGTTCCTATCCTGATAGTCGGCACACGTAGCGTTCCAGAACGAAAGTTGTAGAAATGTATGCTGGAAAAAATCGAGTGATTTTTGTTGAAATTAATGAGAGACAGACTATTTGAGCTCAGGAAACGAGTATCGTTTTGGTTACAAATGCTCCATTGTTTGTCTGCGAACGCCAAAACCGCACATGATGCTTTCTGGTGGGAGTTAGGGACTGTCGGTCGTATGCCAAGGGCTACGGCCTCGTGACAGCATAGAATTATGACATAGGAATCTTTCACTTATGGTTACTTAATTTACTCGAGTTGATCCGGTTGATCACAACGCCTGGTGGTCCACGGCAAGGTGTACAAGGTCGCGGTCCTGTCTCGTCGTCAATGGTGGTGCATTTCCGAGTCCATCGCTGTATGCCACGAATTCACTTAATGTTCACCGTGGCAATGCCATCTTTCGCAGCAGCTTGGTCTGTTTACCCCTGTGCACCTGGTCATCGCTCGGTTTCCAAAGGATGTATACAGTTAATCGTGAAGCAACAAAATAGTAGTTCAGTAAGTACACGGTGAAAACCTTCTTGGTGCGTCATGTTTCCACAGTAGTCCTCGAAATTTTCTAGTTTCCCAACATTCTCTCACCACAGTAGCCACTGTCGTATCTGTATAGTGTGACAAGTCAGGTAGCATCTTAGCAGACACAAAGTTCTGTTCTCACACTACTCTTAGCTCTGCCTCTCACAAAATCAATGGGGATTTTCACTTCGTTTACAAACCATTCGAAGCGAAGTAAAAACGAAGGCATTTGAATATGGGCAATCTTTTGATAGATTCACCCCATGATATCACTTTCTGGTCCAATCAAGAGGTCGCAACTGCGTTTTGTTTCCACTTTCTGCAAGATTTATGCCGAAAAACAATGCTGTTTACCTATTCGATACCGGGGTGTAGCTAGTTGACGTGGCCTTCACACCTATGCAGCCCCACAGAGCACCCATCAGTATCTACTAGATAGCGTAGTTAAGGCTGGATAAGAAGACTCCAGCCGAACTTCGGTGCACAAGTCTACACAATACCCTCAAGGCTGGTTTGGGTCACGGAGCGTCAAGACCTGATTAGGTTAGGCGGTGTTCCATCAAGCAGCGCACTGTTCTATGATCCAGCACGGTAGTGGATGGAATCAAAGGTGGCACAAGAGGCGAATATGGACGTGACAACAGCCTGCTAAATCTTTGAGGGATTTCGGTACATGTTGCAAAATGAACGGCACTGTGGCAACAGTCATCATCTGGGGTGTTGGCAGCACGCATCATTGACGCATATTGGCTGGAAATCCGTAAAGTTTAATAGGTAGACGCGGCGTTCACCATGGTCAAACTCGCAAAGACCATTGTTAGATGAACGTGTACCAGCGTCTCAGCTCCGTGTCAGAACCACAGTATCGATTTCCAATAAGTAAATCACAAGTTCTTTTAGAAACTCGAGTCGGTGTCGCTGGAACATGTACCAAGGTGTCCGTAAGCCATAATCTTGCAAGGTGGTAGCTTGCGGTCAAAACGAATTCCATTCCGTTCTGACCGGAGGCATCCCATCTTCCGGTGAGGAGTTGGTGCCGAAACACATGAAAGGTTTCGTTCTATGACTAAGTGTTCGAAAATGTGAGTCTCGCATTGTAGTCACCCGCATCCTATCCGAACGACTTCCAAGGTCGAGATGTTTTGGAGCATTCCAGAAACCAGTGAAAAGTTGTGTGCAGCGGCAATAGCACTCAGACAGCTGAAATCGTGTCACTTCCCGGGGGATGCCAAAGCATGAGAATGCATGAGTACGGATACCAACGGGGGTATGAAAAGGATATCGGTTTAAGGATTCACCTATAAGGATGAGAAAAAATCAAACCTCAATGCTCCCATGTTTGTTCGATTTTGAAGATAATTGTATTCGTCCCATCCTTGGACGGTTATCTGTTTTCTCACCGTTTTTGTTTTGGAATCGGAGTTTAGGTAGCCTGATTAGATGGACGGTTAACGAATCCCCAGTCAGTAAAGAAGGTTTTATCCGCTCTCCTTCAGTGGAAATGTATTTGTCATGGGAAAGCAGGTGGTAACCGGTCCCTTGAGTGTATTTCAGTGGTGTACCAAGACTCAGACCTTACTGAGACACCTGAAGACAACAATTGTCGGGGGTGCATTGGCACACTTTTCACTATGTGTGACATTTAATTTGCAGCAACTTTATAAGCAGTGTGTAACGTCTAGAAAAATAGGTCCTCTTACGTGGAAAATTCGTTCGTTTGTTTTGTTCCGTACAGTAAATGCTTCAAAGCCGAGATCTGATTTTAAACCCAATAATGCTTGTCTGTAACTCACCAAGAAGCGTCAGAGACGACGCAAAAACTTAGCAACACCATTTGAATCTGATGAGTATTATATAGATACTGTCACGAAGGAACTGGACCTTACTGACGGTATGTGTCCCTCCGCAACCCACTGAGCTATACCGCGTGTGGTACTCTCACAGAACCTATCATACCAGGTTGGTTAGTGGATAGAGTTCTGACTAACACATACTCTTGGTCCTCCGGGTTGTTGAATGGAAAGTGTGTGGCGACTTGCTCCCCAAAATAGAGGCTACTTCCGTAGTCTTACGTCAACCACCGCTCCCTTTCGGCCAGGCTTTTCAAGTAAAGGTTTTGGTTGACGGTCCTAACCGTTATCCTGTCCAGGTGTGGGTGCCCTGCGCACAGCCTGCGCACAACCGTTAGGTACATATTCACAATAATGACCAGGATAGCGTCTGCTTTGTCTCCCTGTGCACGGTTGGAGACGCTAGTGAGCGCGAAATCTTGTCAATTTCTATCCAGGTAGTCTGAATGGGTGTTTGGACGTATAGGCACCTCGAAATGATTATGGTAGGCCGGCACTAGGTCTCTTTACCAGAAAATTTCATCCTTTTCTTCACAATAAAATTTGTAAATAGATTATGGTAGTTTCTTGCCTTAGCCTCCAGTTGTGCAACTAGGGAGGACACATGGAGTGAAAGAAATAGTTTCTTGTAATACACTACTTATAAGGTTGCTGAAAACCAAATTGGTATGGGTGAGTGTATTTTGCCAATAGTTTCTTGTTTGATACAATGTTTATCATCTCCACGTCGAGTTTGACCTACCGATCTTGTATATCCCCGATGAAAAGATTCCTCTGACTGTTGGATTTCTACAAGAATCGATCATCCCCAATCACGGTATAACATCCCCCCAAGGCCTTTGGATCCCCTTCACTTCTGGAACGATCAAGTCTTTCAGCTTTTTTCAATCTTTCCTGATACTAGGGTATCTTTGCAATGTATCATAATTAAAGTTCAATTCCAAGACGAATTGCTGTATGAACGGTCATCCTAACAAGATTGTTTAGCTGGCTGATTCCTCAGACTTGGATTCTTTGCTTGAAAACAACGTCTAGTGATGCACTACTCATAAAGTTGCTGAAAATTCGTCGACAGCCCACGACCGGTTTCGCCCTTCCTGGGGCTCATCAGGTAGGCGCAGTCCCCGAGTTCCCGTTCTACTTGAAACCAAATTGCATGAAATTAGCGAGGTGAGTCTCTCACAAAACCAAATTTGTCTGCAAATGGGTGTAGTTCGCTAACGTCCAGTAGATTGGGAATACCATGAGATGTTTTGATGTGAACTATAAAAGGACCCTGGACGCTCCGTAGCTCTTATGGTTTAAAAGATAGAACAGATGCATCGAGCCACATCGGAAATCCGAGGAATGGACTACTGAAACAGCTCCGTGACCCACCACTGATGAGCCACGTATATCCGTTCCTCTCAGTTATGCTAAATCCTGCGTTGTTTTGTTGTCAACTTCAAACCGACTGGCTACCGGAATGTGCGATATGTCTATTCCGGATAATGTGCTTCACATCTGCGCACGTACCCGCTTCTTGTTCTCCTCCTGCACTCAGGAGATAACATTTTGACTTGCAAAAAAAAACTCCGCAAGACGCGAATGAACATGCATCTTCGGTGAATGTCCACTGGATCGAGTCAGTTGAATGATGGACCTGTATTTTATTTACCATTTGTGTTGTTCTACCTACCGGAAACGACAGCGATGGAACACCAGATGCGAAGACTTGGACTTGGAATGTTTACTTCGTTCCCCGGAACAGCTCATGTTCCGGTCAGGCAGTTGTTTTTCAGGTGCACCACAGATGAGTTTGAACTCGCTCAGGGTGGAATAAACATGATTTTTTTGTTTTCGTGGAACGGCTCTACCCGCAAATGAAACTTACTCAGTGATATTTCTGCGCCTTGAAGTTTGATGCGTGATTTCTCTCCTAGCATTACTGAAGAGACTCATAGAAACACAGCGTTACCCTTATTCGTCTCCCTGTCTTGTCTGTACCCGTCTATTCCTCATGTGTGGATCTTACCTTTTGCCTGATGTGCCCACCTTGGTGCGGAACTCATAACCCGTTTCGCGTCCGGGACTAGGTCCAACCGACTTATGATAGCGCTTATCTCCAGTGGTCATCCGCCACACGAACTCACCGTCTGGTGATGCATCGTTCAGAGCGAATCCCCCGGGTCCTCTGTGCGGTTGTCAAGGCTTTACGGAAATGTGTATCACTCACTAGATGCGACGAACATATCTGACAAGATTCATCGGTCATTACGGTAGCTTTTAGGATGGAATAAAAGTTTTGTTCTTGTCTTGAGCTAGATACTCGCTGCTCCCTCGCTAGTAGGGTCTTTTCGCAGAGAGATCGGGAACTTGTGGAATCCTCGGTGATATTCCACATCAGTCAGATGAGTCGCTCCTACTCACGGGGATAGAAAAAAGCCGTGGCAGCCTCCGTTCAGCAGAATCATTATGTTGCGTGAGATGAGACCGGCTATGATAGTTTTAAGCAAGGTCACATCCCACAGGATCATGCTGTTCCAGTAGATTATGCACAAACGTTCTGACTTGGACGAAGAAGGAATGCTGACCGGATCTGTGTGCGACATTAACTATGCATATCAATTCGAGTTTGGCGCCAATCGTTGCTCGCTTTACCAAGGTTAAACCACTAACTTGTCCCATGGCACTACTTGACGTTCACTATGCCTAGTCAGCGCTATGTTTTGCATTATTAACGACAGAACATTCCTACTGGGATACACAAGATGCCCCGAAAAAGCCATATCGCTGAGGGTTGGACGGAGAGCGTTGAATCAAGTGACAAGCCATCAGTTGCTTATGTAACCGACTCGTACTGTCGCCTTTCCCTCCTCCGTATAGCCTGTCGTAGACAGGTAACCAGGGTCGATAATGAGGTTGGGATCGTGCGTGTGTATTTTTGTACATTCGACATCGACGGAACCGGAAGTGGTCAATTTGTGGCAAAATAATTATTTTCCTGAAAATGAGCAGTCGATTTCCAATGTCCCTGTGTGTCGACAGTGTTCTCACCAAGTTAGGGCGATTAAATCAGTATGGATTATGGCTCGGTGGATCGATTGTGACGGAATGTCATGAATATCCATTTGGATTGAGCCATTTGTGTAACTCCGTAGTTTGTTTTAACAAATCTCGACCACGAGTATCAAGTCCATCTGTGGTCTGGGTGGACATTTCCAAGGTAACTGTTCCCACCATTTCTACCAGCTTTTTCAGAGCATCATCGGCGTTCCAATGAGTGACTTCAGTTTGCTCGGTCTCTCAATTACTCCTGGCTTTTGCTAGTTAAAGTCTACCTTGTGATCTCCCTTCTGAGCACGGTTTCTGATTTCAGTTTTATTACACTCTGATTGCATTTGAATTTGAAGACTGCGCACTAACATCGACTCACACAAGTTTTATGACACTTTATTCTCCTGGTTGGCGCACGCCAATCATTTTTCCGAGCAAATTACAGATTTATTGTTTCAGTAAAATTTTGCAAGCGTTGTTTACCTGTCTGTTTGGTGTGCACAGCGAGCTGCAATTAGATCAGACAAGACTCAGTAATTTCAAGGACCTCAGGTTATGTGCTTCAAGTTTGATCATTCTGATCAGCTGATCATTCTTCTAAGTGCATTCCAATGTCTTTTGTTTTAATCGCTGGAGCCAACTTCTGGCTGTGGGTTTGAGGCGAGTTCTCGGTGTTTGGCAAAAACTGTTTAACGGGTGGAAGAACAGTGAAGTAATTCTCTGTCATGCAACTCAAATGTTACTGCCCAGTTTGGGAGTGCAGAGTCATTTGATCGGTCCTTTGGCCTCACAATTTTTGCCAGTTTCCTATAAGGCCCTACGATTTGTCCAAAAGACTTCTATTTCTCAAGAGAATAGGACCAATCCGAAGGTAGAACGGATGGAGAATCCTCGTAAAGAAAACATAGAGGTGACCAGACCTTTGGGTGAACAGGGCCTTGTGACAGACCGATAACCAGTAGCTTTTCAAAGTAGTAACAAGAACATTTGCGAAAGATGTGGGCCAGTAAGGAACAACTCTCGGAAAGTCGACAGGTGAAGAAATTCCTCTGAATCTGAGCAATAGTTAGAGAACTGGAAGAAATCTGGATCGATTAGAAAGCAGTAGTCGCGGAGTGGCTGAATGGGGGGTGAATAACAACGTATACTTTGGAACATATGAAATTCAGACAGAAGTGAGCAAATTATCTAGAATAGTACGATGTGCCGAAGAGGAAATTACTTGTTCGTGGAAACAGCTGCAGTTCACGTCTTCTACTGGGGAAGGTTTTGAATAACACTAATTCGGCAGCCGATGGATTTTCAGCAACCTTATGAGTAGTACATTACAAAGATATACATGTATCGCGATATTTCAAATATCGTAGCGACTGATACATGAGGCGGCCTGGCGCAGCACATTCAGTTGCCTGAGAACATCACAAACAAGAGATTCAGCTGGGTTCCAGGTGAGTCTGTCGAAAGAACCAACTGAGTTTGCAAATGAATGTATAAACACTAATTCGGCCTTGAATGGGTTATCCGATTCTGTTCAAAAATAGCGCGCAGTTCAATACGTAGAAGTGAATACCATCGGTGAAGAGGAACAAAGGCTTGAAAGACAGGGATAAGTAATCTAGAGGAATAGAGCCATCACCATCCTCATCGTCAGTAAGGGATTTGCATGCCACCAACAATTCTTTTTAGCCTCCTTGGTTTCGCTCATTGATAATACCGGGATTGAATAGCTAGGAGTGAACAGCTATACGTTCAGAACAATAGCTAGTAGTGTTGTACAAAGTGTGGTTGTGTGCTGGGAGCATCAGTCTGACTGTCCTGTTCTTCTGTTCCATATTCAATAGGAATGAAGTTTACCGATGCAGCTTCAATGCATGTCTAATGTCATAGCATCTGTTAGACCTTTTCTGACCCGCACACTGCTGCCTTACGAACGAGGGTCTTGGGTTAGTAAGCCGATCGACTGATACAAAACCCGGGTGACCAAATCAGTCCAGTCTATTGATTCGCATTAGTTCTTTTCAAAATTACACTAAATTTACTTTAGCCCCAGTAAACCATGTTGTTAGTCAAGACCGTATGTGGATGCAGAATTCTAATTCCTCCCTCAACACCTTTGATGTTTTGAAATCCATTTTTGGATTTGACCAACTTCCCTCATCGACCGGCCTCATTTCTTGTAGTTATCCTTCGATCCTGTTCGTTACCCACACGCCGGATACGTTTCCTCTGATTCCTCATCCCTTCAATTAATACATTGATTTTCTTCCCTACCTCAGTATGTTTTGCTTATTTTCCAACCGCCTCATTTATTCGCATAGCATCCGGTAAAGAAAACTGTTTTTGGTGCCAGTAGCCATTTTTAGCCAACCAAATGATTAATACAGGGACTTTGGGGCCAGTGTAACCCGGTGCCTGGATTGTTCGTTCGTATGTAATGAATGTTCTCCCCGGTTTATCCGATTTTGGTCAAGTAAAAAAAGAAAGAAAGAAAAGCCCACGCACGCATTAGAGAACAAGTCGATAAATCACGTCAAATTGCGTATGATTTCCACGGAGATGACTGTCGGTATCTGTGTGTGTGTGTGTGTGTGTGTGTGTGTGTGTGTGTGGTTGTCTTTTGCAGACGTGTTCCGGCGGCATATTGTCATACATACAGTTGCCACGATAACCCTGAAAGGGAATTTCACATGTTCTTCTCAACCGGGATTTATATTTCCATACATTACAATCATTCGAGGCTTTCGCAAATGAACGAACCAAAAGGGGAAACGACACATCTGACACAGTTTATTCCCCAAATGGGCAGTCGGTACAGCAAACAACTTTTAACAACTCCACTGTTTTTCATCCTTTCTAGTCTTAGCATCCATCCTTTAGAATCGCGCGTAACTTGGAACAACAACAAACATTATTCTCTTTCGGTAACTCCCATGGAACTTAACGACCTAAATTACTTTGGATTACCGTATTTATCATCCCTTTATCGCCGATTGATTTCTTCCCCTTGGGGCACTCTCAATAGGGGCGAAATGGTGATTAAAGCGCGAACTTACTGACTGGAAGGTCTGTGGTTCGCACCCGACCTCTGCCACTCGACCCGCCCTGTCTAGGCTTGGGCAACCTGGCAGTATCCCAGCTTTCGTGCAACCTTCGGGTGGCGTGACAGTTAGGCACCGAAAGGGTGCTACAGATGAACGATTTTTTCAATAGGAACTCTGGAAGTTCAGACATCCTATGAAACTGCCTCAAACATGAAAGACTGGATTTCCAGTAGTTGGTCATGCTCGATGAAATTACACACAGCATTTGACCATTTGACCTTCCCACATACCCCTTACCGGTTCTGTCCATATACTTCCCCTGAAATCTTTACCGCTGGTACTGTTTAGCTCACAGGCAGATGCTCTTTTTACTTTCTCTTTCATTTTCCTGGGAATACTTCTTCGCAACTGTCAAAATATAGTTCCATGCAGCTGATTGTATCCTATTTCTTAAAAGTCCGGTAAGATTCTTTCGAGTGCAGACATAGTACTTTATTCATAAGGTTGCCGAAAACTCTTCGACGGCCCACGACCGCATATCATAAACGAATGATTCAGTCAAAACCAAATTAATATACAGATGAGTGTACCTGTGGCTGTGTGGTTTCACGAAAGAATCGCATGGATATATGGTGGTTTAGTAAAGCCCTCCCATCTTAACTACAAATCTGACTGTATCTGCTGCAGAGCTGTCACTAATAAATGGAAAGACAAATTTCTTCAGTGGAACAACCCTCAGATAACCGAATGCACTCACAGATTGCATCCTTATGGATGCTAACAAAAGCAGTCCGCCGTAACTTTTCCTTTCCAGTGTTTTTTTCTATTTCTGATGCTCATGACATCCTCACATCCTAGGAGAAGCAGCTATTAGCGAAATACACCAATTTCCAGGTGAGTCTTTCGGAAAAACAAATTGATTTGCGAATGAGTGTATTCCAACTTGGGTTCAAGTAAAACATAAGGTTGACGGAAACTCGGGGACTGCGCCTACGTGATAAGCCCCAAGAAGGGCGAAACCGCTCGTGGGCTGTCGACGAATTTCCAACAACCTTATGAGGAGTGCATATACAAGTGAATATACAAGAATCAACTATCTCCTTGGGTCGCTTCGCTCTCATATTCTCCAACCTGCTGTACCCGTTTGTTCTTCATTGGGGCTCTGTTCTGTTTTCCCACGAGTTTTGTAGTTTCATCCACTATTCGGGCTTTCGGTGGAATCAACCACCATTCTGCCCTATCGAACTTTAAGCATAACAGTTTAGACGGTAAAATCGATGCACCTCACCTTTGGTGTACTGTACATACTGCATACGTACTCCCTTAACACTTATCTATATTTCTGTCTTAGCTCGCCATCCTCCCCCGAATCTTTTAGTCTTTAAGGACTCAGATCTGTCTCTGTCCCATTGAGTACGAACTTTTGTGACAACCTCTGTGGTCGATGCAAATGCGTTTGAGAAGGTGTTTTTCTCACTCCCGCTAGATGCTTCACTTCTCCCGGCTTAGTATTCCTTGAAAATCCCGAAGTCCCCATCTCCTAGTCATATCTGCATCGGGGTCTTTCGCCCTGCCCCTCAGTTATGGGGCGTTTCCAAACTAAGGTCATTTGCGTGATTGCTACTCATTACAGACACATTGCAACCTATATTGTATCACCAGGATATACAATCTCTTTTTTACTCGTTGACACATTGCAACCTATATTGTATCACCAGGATATACAATCTCTTTCCTTATTTACTCGTTTCTACCATGGCAAATGCTCCTTCAAATCCGCTTCAACGGGGTCTTTCAGATTAGCTTTTAGTCATTCCATCTGCTTACGTGTTCTAGTCAACCCTACCGAGTTTTTGCTGCAGCGAGGCTACCTAAAGCCATTGTTGGTACACAAATCTTGTACGAAATCAAATACCAAGTACCAAGTAGATCTGATCCCATATTCGTTCATTCGACGATTTTCCATAGGAACCCGCTCACACCTTCCCTAGTGTATCAGGACTTAGTCAGCGACCAGAACGGGGTGTTGAATCGCTTTTGGCTTGTACAGGTATACTCATTTAGTCTGGTCTTGTGCCACAGTAACATACGGTCATTGTGCGGACCTAGATAGTTTTGTCCGGTGTCCCATTTTTCCATACCCACATTGGCTCTCAAAGTTCACCCATTCCCCACATGCTCCGTCACCCTGAGGTCAACCACCATGCTCTCCGACCTTGCAATCTGACCTTGCCCGTTTGATTGGTCTTTGGGTTCCGTTGTTGGTCTTTTGCTACTTATACATTCTTTTGTTATCAGTACGTACTGAGTTGCCTATGATTCCTGTCTGTGTCTCTCACTATGGCTCATGCGTGCATCTGATCCTGTTCCAGCGACAGAGCAGGACCATGCGAAACCGGTCCTTGGATCAAATCACCATAGTAAGCTCTTCACAGTGCTTCGTACCAAGCCAAACTTTTGTCGTTTGGCGTCAAGCAGTGTTTCACTCTCAGAACCCGTAGGTGCATCCTGTACGAGTGTCCTGACGATACACTGTGGTATCTAATTTCAAACGACTGATTTGTCCACATAGATGAAAACAGCGTTCTCACAAATCACGAAATTTCATCCGTCATGTTTACTTTTTGGCGCTTTCTGGTTTTGTTTACTCAGCTTGGAAAAACCTGTTCTATGATTGACAACTTCCTTGGATCTGGTCTGTCTGTCTGTCTGTTCCAGTTCGTAGTATTTTTGCAGCCTGACTATTCAGCGATTACTGGTAGTTCTTTACTTTAACTATTTCAACCAACTATCCTGTCTCACGATTTAAACATTTTGAAGGCTTAAATGAACACTGGGAAAACTTTGGCAATATCACTCAAAATTTTGTCTTACTGGCTGTTTGCCCATACACTGAAACTACCTCCCTTTGGAACACCCCACCATGCAAACGGAATGGCATGAGATTTCCCGATGAACCTGATAAAGTGTGTTTTGTCCTAAAGACTGTAGCCCTGAATCTGCCAAGGATAGTTTCTATGACGCTGTAGATGCCTTTCTACATCAGGCTCAGATGTCGTTGTGGTTGCTGGTGATATGAACTCCCAGGTAGGTTGGCTAAGCGCTGCTGAGGCCCGATTGGGTGGTCGTCTTGGTTTGGACACGAGACGCACGGACAACGGAGACCGCTTACTTCAGATGTGCGCCGATCACAGGCTGTTCCTTTGCAGTACGAATTTCCGGAACAGCGGACATCGCTTGACAACGTGGTGCCCACCATCAAACCAGCGCCGAATCCAACTAGACCACATCGCCGTCAGTTATCGGTGGCGAGGGTCGATCACCGTCTGCCGCTCCTTCTGGAACACCGGTGAGGACTCCGACCATGCACTTGTGCGCTGCTGCTTTTCATTGCGCTTTTCAGGTTGTTCTAAGGGACAGCAACCTTTTCTGAGGGTGATAGGTAATTGCAGAAGGAGACTCATGATGTTTCGAAACTTGGGCAGCCGGAGTTTGCTCAAGCCTGAGCGTGAGCTAGTTTGAGATGGCATCTGAAGACGAGAGAAGGGAAAAGTCGACGCACATACTGACTTCTTCATAAAACAAGAAATATTCGTTTCAATTAGGTCTGCGTTTGTGTAAGCCATGTGTCTTCAGTTTTGCAAAGCACTCACACCAATTATTGGCGGATGAGTGCTTAACGTTGGGCTGATCTCCCAAGTTGAGTCCGGAAGATATTATCGCATACTAAGATATACGTAGTGACAACGAGTTCCATTAAATTTTGGGCATTCCTCAGGATGTTCATACAAACCCGTGCTCTTATGAACGGTAAATCAGTCGATGAACACGTAGAAAACAGTGCACCACCGATAATCCGTTAGAATTTATGCCAGATGTGTTTTCGCAGGTGACTTGACATCGATTCGACAGATGTTGATCGAAATAATATAATATAATATAATATAATACAATATAATATAATATAATATAATATAATATAATAGGTCTATTTCTGGGGCATTTCGCTTTCAAAGCCCCCAAGCTTCGCCTTTGATTGCGGTGCGCCATACTTCAAACATGCAAGAGAGTTATCCCCACCGTTTTCCCTTTCTGGGCGGCAGGTAATATAAAAAACATTCGTGTCAACAGCCGGCACGTTATTGTTTACTGCAGCCTCTAACCGGTAACTTGTCTTCGTCTGTAGCTACCCTACCCAACCCCTGGATGAGCGTTATCGATCCGCTTCAGGAAAGGTCTGTGATGACTTTCTAACCTCCTTTTGCCTTAGTATGGTCAGCTACACGATAATCCTCCTTTTCCAGATGCCTTCCAGCTAAATGCCCTATAACAAGACCTAACTACGAAGAACTGCGCCTCGGCCACAATTTTGGGAACCGTCTGTTCACACCTCTACACTTCCTACCCAACTTCAAGGATGATTGTGTAACTGCTTATGAGCTTAAATGTGCAACACTTAGTCATTGGACGCTCTTCGTATTTGCATGTGGTCAGGCCGGTTCGCATCTAAAGCACACCACCACCCCGCACTGTCTCCACCAAATAATCGATAATCGCTTTTTTAATCGGGTGGTGTTGCCTCATTAAGGCAGCTGGGAGTTGTAGCCACTCTCAGCCGCCTGCTATTTTGGACCGAAGTCCAGTGACACCAAATAGCCACAAAGCGCTCTAGACAGACCCATGGGTCCATCCTGGTCTTACTTCATTACGATCCCCAGCCCATTCTAACTGCTCGTGCAACCTCGACTGACTCGGCCATGACGTTCATGCACGGGGCTGTCGACTAACTCGTCGCGATATAATATAATATAATATAATATAACAATTATAACTATAATATAATATAATTAATATAATATATTATAATATACACCGTTCAGCTGTAACACCTTCCCGGTGCTTGGTCGCCATGCCACCCGAAAGAGTCACAAGGGCTCAGATGCTGCCAGGTGTCCAAGCCTAGACATGACTAGCCAAGTTGTGTTGGAGTTGGGTTCGAACCACGGATCTGCCTGCCACTGTCACTTGACAGTTCAACAAACCAGCCGTTTGAACCAGAATTTGTACATCCTAGGTTTTGTGAACCGTCATCTGCGCAGCTAAAAGTATACTTATTTTGTGACGGCGCCGCACTAGATTAATCACGTTGAATGTCACAAACTAATCATCCCTTGATGGCTGTGTTAGTGTAAACTATGTTCCGCTGTGATATGTGGCCTGTGTCTGATCGTTTTGAAGCGAATCGGTTCATAGGCGAGCTCAAGATAGATGTCGCTGAAAGTGTGAGGTCGCCCGATAATTCACAGGAAATTTGGCATAATGCTGTTGGTTCTTAGGTGCTTCCGCAACGTAGTCCAGGAACTACCAACACAGGGAATAGGCCCTGGATGCTGTGGGCATTTTAGGTAGTCTTGAGAAATCAGCTTGAATGACATACATACACTCATACTAACTCACCCACAAATTACCAGAAAAAAGTTCCTGATTATCCTGAAGTAAAGTGAAGGGGCTGAATCCCAGGCATGTAGCTTATGCTCTCCTGGCCGACATATCCCGTACATATCAGTTGTGTTTAAAAACCACGGAACAAGCGACATCTGCGGCACTGAACGGACATTGCGAAGCATCAATGTTAAACACCGATGTTATGCTGTTGATGATGATGGCGTTCCTGAACGTGACCTGACAAGTTGAGCGCTAAACAAAATCACAGGTATTGCTAACCTTGAGTGTAATGCTTCCTGAGGAAAGGCTATATTCCTGGTTTTTCGGCGAGGGGGAATAGAGAGCAACTGGATGGTTTCCAACAGCCCAGAGTCGACTGGATCAGCAGCAGCTTCCGTCGTTGTCTTCAGAAAAACGATCGCTTCACAGTTGATGGATTGACTGGCTTGTCGATCCGGCTCCACTCAATTGTCCTTCGAGTTGTGTGTGGCAGATGCCATCTAGTTCTTCCACTGTGCAGTTGTTGCGCTCTAAAGCTGTTGTCTCCTCTTGTTGAATAGGACGCATCTCTAACAGATGAGGTAGTCTTCTAAGGTGTGCCTTGTTTTGTTTTTAAGGGGGAAGCCTTGGGAGACCGTGCTGCCTAATAGGAAGAGGATGACGTACAGTTCACTACCCACCGCTAATTTCCAACTGTTGATAAGCTAACATGGCAAACAAAAGGACCAGACAGGTTACGACAGCCTCGTCCATTAAGTAACTTTGTAAAATAAAATAAAATAAAAAAGCTAGTTATGCAGTCCCACCCGTATCCCACATGTACGGGGTGTAGGGTGTTAATGTATCATTGAATGAAACCATACATGTTTACAGACGATCTAACTTGATGTGCTGACGGTCTCATCTTTTTTAGTTCAAATCTTAGTTCTTAAGTCCATAATTTCATGGTACTGTTTGGTTACTTTTAATATTTATTGTACAGGCCTGTATCCAAGAGGCAGTTATTGGAAGCAGAAGGTGACTTAAGGACGTTTTTTACAAAATACACTCATTTGCAAACAAACTTCGTTTTGCGAGAGACTCATCTGGAACCCAGATACATCCCCCGCGAAAATTTTTCCAGCAACCTTTTGAGTAGTATAGTACGCCTATGCCCTTTACAGACTATATAAACACTACCTTGAAGAGTGCAACTATCAGTTATCCGCGTACTGATGATGTCTTCTCGAACGGTGACGAAACGTTTCCAAATTAATTACCAAGCTCCGTAAACAGATCAACAGCCACCTGATCAACAACCAAGCCACACGCTTTAATCCTTAAATGCTGTCTTGGTAGCACTGCACAGATCGGACGGAATATTATGCCAGTACTTCGAATTAATCATCGAAAGTCCGCCAGAGGAACAGGTGACACTTCATACGTCATGATGGTGAGACCACCTACTTTGTCGCGCCTGTCGTGAGCATACTCATGGTCCCATGACATGTGAATGAAGCACGAAAGCCTCTTTCAGGAACTAATTGGTGTCGACAGCTGCCAATTCCGTCGATAGAGATCTGCTAACAGGACATGCGATTACCTAGAAATGTTAGCAAGTATGAGCTCCAAGCAATGTAACTAAGGGCTCAAGAAGACGTTTGCTTGAACCGCTACGAAATCACTTATATGGTTTTGTAAGGATATTTGGAGAAATTCATCGGAGCTCGGAAAAACTGCCGGTGAAAAGAAAGTACAGAAGAGTGTAACTGCGCATTCACCTTGCTGTGGGTAGGCTGACACTCTCTGCCGAATACCTCCGACGCACATTCACACACAACACAGGTTCATTTGCCCTCCGTCACTGTTGCCGAATCAACATTGAGCATCATTTGAGCGACCCAGATTATCTGTGCACTCCCACGTTCACTTACGCAGTTCATCTGAAGCGTTGCTCCTGCACATCCTGTGTTCGAAATTCTATCAGATGAGGATAGATCTTTGATGAATAGACTAGTAGTTTACCGGTGCTGATTTCGCTACCTCAAAACGTTGAATCAACAGGTAGTTCGTCAAACGTGGTTCATGATTGGCCACGTGACTCATGAAATCTGTCTTACGCACATCATTGGTTGAGTTCCGGAAGCTAACCCAGTATTGCACACTGTTTATGTGTTCTTTCCACGATAACTGTTCACATTATCGGTCATACTGATGGAATGAACAAACGCGAAATGTTCCCACTACAGCGTGCACCCCAACCAAGGCCACCATAGGTTTGTCCTAACTTCATGTTTTTTTTCGGCGTGGGGACGATTTAATGAGCGAATAACCGGAATCATGAGGGGCTAGAGAGAACTATCCAGCGAGATGCGGATTTACTACTTCATATCTCACTGATGTGGCTGTTTGGCAGCTGACCACTTGGTTTTATTCATCTAATTGTGTTTTTTTCCTCAGTTAGCCCCAACAATATAGGATGTTTAAACCACTCTCTTTCTGTGCACATCACACTCGAAATCATGCCAAGTTTAAAACTCCGCGACCCCATGCTCAATATGGTGTTTTGTGTTTTTCCGCGGACTGCGTGCATATCAGTCATTCAGTGGGGGGTGGGGTACCATCAAGTTCGACGGAACTGACAGTCCCGTAGGTTGTGGGTTTGTCACAAAATGTTACAAATTAACTTGTGTGGTCCGTTATTCGTTTTCTGAAATGCTGCCTGACACTGTACAGCGAGTAGGTAGGTTTAATTTCCTGTGTGACTAGTTGCCATCAGGTGGGTCTCTGAATTTTTTTCTTTGTCGAATTCGTTAGGCCAGATGTGAATTGAAAGCCTCTCAAGTAGATGGTTAAACATGTGGTGGAAAAATTGTGGATCGCTGTGCACCCCTCTGGACAGACTACCTTGATCGTTGGTTATCTTTTTCCTGTTAGGGGAAAAATCATTCAGCTGTAACACCCTCTCGGAGCCTAACTGCCTTGCCACCCAAAGAAAGTACAAGGGTTGGGATACTGTCAGGCTGCCCAAACCTAGACAGGTGAAAACGAGATGCAGAGGTCGGGTTCGAACCACGGACTTTCCGGTCAATAAATTCGCGCTCTGACCACTTGAGCTATCTCGCCCTTCTCGTTAAAATTGAGCCGAGAGCATCCCATGAAAACCTCTCCACTGTAAAAATATAAAGTACGTCAGTAGTGTGGTTCTCGTCTCCACAGCAGTAGAATTTTTGTATGGTCTTGTCTTACGCGAGTGGGAACAGGAGGAAATAGGAAACCTAATGAGAAAAATGGAATTGGATGCAACGACAAGTACTGTTGCACTTATTTGAAAAAATGAATATGAAATTGAAATGGGTTTCTTCGTTCTATATTTCAGTTCTACCCAGCGGTTAAGAGGCGAGATGGGTCGGTGGTGAGGTCGTGAATTTACTGACCGGGAAGTTTGCGGTCCGAACCCGACCTCTACCTCTCGAATTCCACTATCTAGGCTTGGGCAACCTGGCAGTATCCCAGCCCTCGTGCTTCCTTCGGGTGGCATGCAGCTAGGCTAGGGTGCTACAGCTGAACACAATGGTTTATATGAAATCCCATGGGGCCCATACTGGTCTCTCCATCCAGTTAATTTAAACTCACGGATGCTCGTTGTGTTGTGGAATTTGCCAGTTGAACAAGCCTGTTTGTTGATAAATCTGGGTCGTTGGTGAAGAATGTTCCCATCGTATTTCTTCTTGGGAGAAAGGACTGTTAATGGTTTTTGTGGTTCTCTCCTGTTCCCAAAGTGCTTGCTTAAAGGATTGCTTCACCTTTGAGTAGTTTTTTGCAATTATGGTAGCCATGGTGGTGGTATGGGTGGATGAAGAATGTTCGTCCTCCGTGTATCAACGTAACACAGTACTCACACGGTTGCTGAAAATCTTCGTCGAATGGTTGTCGGGAACCATATAAGTAGTGTATTATGTCCATACAATGTATTGCGATATTTTGAATGGAGTGCCAACTGAAACATAAGGCGGCCTGGTGCAACGCACTCAGTTGGGCAAAATGATCATAAACGAGGGATTCAGCTGACTTCCAGATGAATCTCCTGTCAAAAGTAAATTGGTTTGCAGATGAGTATATTAGTTCGTCTGATTCACTCAGAACGGGAATCCGGGGTGAGTCAATCAATCATGGTGTTCATTAGTTTATCTATCCACAAAACGTGGACACCGACCTTATGACTGTAATTCATAAGTCATGGGGCGAAGAAGCTGTTCCGTATTCCAGATATCAATCAGTTGGCTTCGAGAGTCGCGTGTTCTCGCATTAATGTTGGTATGATTAGCGCATCGGTCTGAGAATTCCCGGGTGGACTGCGTTGAAACTGAATGCCTCTCATTCTCTTCATTTGAAGTTCTCTGCGAGCAAGACGGATACAGGATTTGTAGAATCCACGCTACTCTCGTTTAGAAACTCGTCCCCCTGCTCTGGCACAATCGTTCTGGCGAGTCCACACTGAAGAGGGGAGCTCTTATTAGAGCGAGAGTTTGAACTTAGTATACCTGACATGCGAATTGCCACGTCCGAATAATGGAACATGTTCACGCTTGAGTGATGTTGGGTAGCCTTGTCCATCGCTCAAGTTGACTAGTCATTGGGTTAGTGCGAAATCCCGTAGCAGCAAAAGCGTGTATTCGCCGTCTAACCACTTCGCACTATCAACAACTATTGTGTCGCTCAGCGACTGACTTTTTGCATTGATCTCCGACGTAATTGTCAGTCTCAGTTCAACAAACAAACGGTGAACACTGGTAAGTAGCGGCTGTTATTGTTAGCCTGCCATGACGCAGGTCGAATTGTCCGTGCTCGCTACGCAGGGTGATTGAATAAATAATTACGTAGGACTCGGCCTGTTGAGTCGAAGTCGGCTCTCGGTTTTATGCGTTCCACTTTTTTTTCATCCACATGCAAAGTAGCCAGTTTTGCTGTTTTGTTCGTTCGTTCGCTCGACACGGCAACAACTAGTGTGCCTATTCGACGTCCGCACAGAGAAAACGCGAAATTTCTTTGGTCAGTGAACGGAGTGCAACACACAATGTAAACTTCCTACATTGTCCGTCTGGGAACATTCGACCGTGGAACACATGCTGGCCTGCTTCACTAAATCAAAAGCGAAACTCAATTTGGAGTCAGAACAGCAATCTTCATAGGTCAATAGATGGAGCTGTCACCAGATATCGATGCTTTTACGCTGTTCCATCAGTTCATTGGATCTTTTTTACCGCTGGGAATGAAACATGATCTTCCTTGTTACAACATACTACTCACTTGTATGAGCATACAATAGTAGTTTGTTGGACGACAGACTTACAAAATCCTCAGTTCATAACGTGGAAAATGCGGTATTAGGCGCCTAGGCTCGATATTTTCCATGTAAACGAAGTCAATAGGCAAACTTTCCAATCTGAGAACTGTACTTGCTATATGCGTTACTCACCCCTCGTTGGAACCTCCCTGACGTTCGTCGATGTACGTGCTGGCATAACTTAACGACAAGGTCCTCTGGATCATAACGCGAAGCTGATTCACAACGTATTGGATTTCGTAGCCAGCGCTCGTCACTTACTTCGAGAAACCAGGCCCAATTCGTGAGGTTACCGAATGCAAAGTGCTCTGTGATCGAAGTATACTCGTTAACGATCGAAGTAGAATGCGAAGGACCTTGAGGGACACAATCAGTTACAACCGACCGAGGTGAGTTGGTGGTCGCTGTGTGCAGCCTTCTGCAGTTTGTCAAGATGAACAATTTGGGATGAAGCATGCGCATCAAAACAAATCGCGGAGTCATTCGCAGATGTCGAAATGAAGATTTCTATCACAACACCCTGACTTTCCACGAAGCAGTCAAGTTTGAATGCAGTCCAGTTTGAATGCGCGAAATAACTTTGCAAGCCATCCTCCGATAGGCAGAAAATAGTCGGAAAGACAGTCGCATGCTCATGGAAACGAAGGACAAGGGGAAGTACTGGGATCGATTCTCAGACAAAACGGCTGATGTTAACCTTTGGAGATATTTAGGGAAATTACGACTCATCGAAAGTAAATAACAGCACTTGTGGAATCATCTAGAGCGGGGTGCGTTGCTTGATCAAAAAATCACGTGACTTGAGCCTGCTGGGGGAGCACATGCACTTGGACGAGCTTGAGTTACTTCCATTTTGATAAATCCTCTAAGCGTGGTCGGTTACTCAGCTGAATCCTGGTGGACCCTGGTTCCAGATGACTGACTCCCTTAGTGCAACGACGTACGCTACTAATGAGGCCTGCGATTAATACCTGTTTGCAGCAAAAAGCTTCACCCACGCAAATAATCGACAGTTGAGATGGAGATTCGTTGGACGTCCGAGTGTGTTCGTTCAAGTCAACTCAACGCCCAGAAAAGCTCACGGATACGTCTAAGAACACTGAGTTTCTCAAACCGTATGCAAATGAGTTTTCGATTTTCTGTCCAATTAATTGCAACAGCACTTACTGGCAACAACCGGGTGTCTTTGCTCTGAAATTTGAGCTCAGGACACTTCTGATGATCTTAGTTACGGTAGAACAATTGGGCACAATCAATTTTCACTTTATTTGGGGGTCCCGTAGTATGGTGCTCATCGCCTGGCACCAGACTAATGCATAAAATTCCTAATGCTGATGTTTTGAGAGACGTTGGTAGTTACTTTAAGCCCAACGATCTCCATGAGAGTTGAGTCGCTTTTGTGTTCCTTTTGATCCGCTTCAGCAATTGGCAGTGAGTTTTTTTTTACCTGCTCTTCTATTCCGATCCATAGAGTAGTTGGCGTAATCAAGACAACCTACTGAAAGACTCAGTAATCCGTCGGCGATTTTTGCATTTGCTATGGTTCAGTTCACCTGATAAACATTATAGATGTCTAACAAAACAATTGAAGCGTCACAGTCCTGTTCGTATGATATTTTCATTAAAAAATCGGGAAATATTAAAAGTGCATTTAATCATACCGGTATTCTCAGAATGGCGTGGTGACCACCCAAATTCTTCTGAAGCAAACATAATATTTGTTTTCCCGTACGTGCTAAGGAGACGGAACCGAACAGTGGTTATTGGAAGTGCCATCAGCAATGAGCAGTGCTCACTTGCGGTTGAGTCTAGTCTATACAGGTGCAGTTCAACCGCAGAGAGGACAGCTTGAGGTCACTCAACTACCCAGTGCTCTCAACAGCACAGTGTTACACCTTAGTGACAGATTTTGTCAGTCAATTCTTTTGCAGTATGAATGGAAATCTGGCTGGAGCATTCGACCAAAAAAAACAAGCCATTTGAGTGGTCTACAAGATTGAAAAATCGTCCAGCTATAGCACCCTTTCGGTGCCAAACTACCATGCCACCCGAATGAAGCACGAGGGCTGGAATACTGCCAGGCTGCCCAAACTTACACAGGGGAAGCCGAGAGGCAGAGGTCGGGCTCGAACCACAGACCTTCCGGTCAGTAAATTCGCGCTCTAATCGCTTGAGCAATCTCGCCCCCGACGTTCATCCAATGCAATTTAATACTCAACAAGTGATCACCAGTCTGTCCCTGAGCGCAGCTCATCCCCTTTTGTTTAGCGTGTGCAATCAGTGGGATTCTTCCATTCCCACCGATAACCAAAAGATCGATCGTATACGCATAGACGATAAGTCACTCTCGGATATGACAGTAGAAGAAACCACTGAATAAACGTTCAATCGCCAATGGTCCTAATAGGGGAACACCATTCCCCGGAGCCAACAAAGGTTACTCAGAGGTTTTTCCACCTGAAACTAAAGCATTGGCTATATTACACGGCGCAGTATTTTTCTGGGGATATCTACATTAAGTCCATCCATGGTTCATAGCTACTTTCGGCATATAACCCCATAGTGATTGGAAGGTGATTTTTTCGTGCTTTTGATTCAGTTTCGGGCTCAAACTTGGACGAAGCCATACTCTGGAATATAAGATGGTGCGATGACTCCACAGTGCGTAGTTGAACAAGGGTTTTTGACCTCGGTCCTTTGGAGCAAGATATGTGGTCTTGAACGTACGACTTCAGTAGCGTTATGGAAGTTTCAGAGCGTGCGCTGATTGGCTTACATTTAATGGAAACGCATCAAATTATTGATGCTCGGGTGAATTGAGATGATAACTGAGTTCATAAAAAACGAAGCATGACACAGTCACTTGGCAGTCTAGCTCCCTACCCAACATTCAGCGGTCCATCCGTGTCTTCAGTTACTTTTTATTTCAGTTGTAGAGTCGGAAATCCGAGTCCTGTGACCATCGGTCATCTGGATGCCTCGCCCAAACTCAGCCCATTCGTGTTTGAGCTCTCAATCTTGCCTGCGAATGAAAAAGTGTACGGTAGTTTTTGAAGGCAGATCAGGATTAGCTAAGGTGACTGCGGTGGCAGATATTAGATTCCTGTCCTTTTCTGGTACACGTTTCTAACACGTTTTCAAAACGACCAGGCGAAATCGGCTGTATTCAAATGATGGAGGGCGAGAGAGGGCCACGATCTGATGTGGGGGCACGTTATGAGTACCGTCATTACCTAGTTGGAAGAGGAATGTAGCCTTAGCCCTCTCACTTTATTGTCTTCATTCAAGCCTCCATAGACACACAGTGAATTCAGTTGTAATTTTATCTATTAATCCAGTTCTGACGACTAGTCTCTGAATATTGTCAAGTGACCTGAGGAAAAAGACTATGTTCCCATTAATCATTCGTTGCATTGTATCAAATCGGATAGCACAAATGTCAGAACTGTCAGCTTTTCGGCCCGCAACTATGGGTGACCTCAATCGAGACTCCGAGATCACATGGTTTGTGCTGGTCGAACCGCGTGCCTGCCAGGTGAATTATGGCAGTCGATATACTCACCTCGCCACCAGGCCATAATGGGTAGTCTAATGTCTACCAAAGGTTAAATTTCGCAGTACTACACAAAACCCACATAGATACTCACCAAATCGTTATCAGACCAACTGTTTTTTCCCCAGTTATTTCGACACTTTTGAGAAAGACATTTCAAATTTAAAGGGCGGATAACTACAGATCAATCCTGACTAAGGTATCTATTTCCGGAATGGCTTCGTTCTACAGTACATTCTTCGTCCATTAATCCTCTCTGCGACAACTCCAGCCCTGATATGGCTGTTGTTCCTGGTCGCGGAACTAGAGCAGTCATCGGTTCTAAATATAACTATCCCTCCGACGCTGCCAAATTCGTTTTTAACGTCCCCCATGGCGTATGAGTGACGTTCACTTCTGGCTGAGCATGGGTAAAACCGATAAAAGAGTGGAAAAATAAGAACAGCTAACTTCAGAACCAAACAATAAAGACGGGAAATGCCAACTATGGACTGCTAAAATGAAACGTGTGGTTTCGGCACTCAACTGCTCAATAGCTCCCCACTCTCCTATTCAACCAGGACGTCTGCCAGAAAGGACGTACTAGCTAGCTTTATTACATAGGAAGTAACATACTGTGAACAAAGTGACTCACCTCCAAAGCTCCCTTTTTTAATACATATCCCGAAGTCGAGCTGGCGTCAGCTGTCTTAGCGCTGGTTTGTTTTTCCGGGATAGTCGGATCCTGGAATGATCAGATCAGATCCGGTCTGAGACATCGATTTAAGATACGGGTTCATTTTGCGAATTGTGTTCTGCGCTTTCGGAAGCTCAAAGAAAAATCGTGCCGAAATGATGAATGAATCGTGAATAACATAAAACAGTAAAACAATGAGGTTTAATTTTAGTTGCTTCTTGAAAGGCGTCATCCGGATGACCTTTTGAGAATTTCGCACCCTCGTAACTGGTTCTTAGGTGAATGTGTTTTCGTTCATTATTTGGCCACATGAGGGAACGCGATCAACTTCCATTTGGGCCTAAAACACTTGATTCTCGGACAAGTATCGCCCAAGGGACGAGATGGCTCAGTAGTTAGAACGCGAATTTACTGACCGGAAGGTTCGGACCCGACTTTCATCTGTTGATTTCTCTGTCTAGGCTTGGGCAATATCGCAGCCCTCGTGCTTCCTTCGTATAGTTAGGCATCGAAAGGGTGCCATAGCTGAACGAAGTATCACTCACAGATACTCTGATTCTGTGTTGGATCTGCACAGTCCTTTAAGGAGATAAAAGACTTCATTCTGTCCAACAAGACTTGCGAGTAGTATATCGATCGCTTACGTTGAAAATGACGGATCAATCAATTTAAAGGAATAAATTCCAGTTCCTGCATGTGTTCGACCAAACAAACTGACTAAAAGGTGCCAATATTCGTGAACTAGATTTGACAGCAGCCCTCACCCTTAAAGCTGTTCCATTCACATTCTACCAGGGTAATGTTTGAATTATCAGACGACAGTGTCAGTTGAATCTGAGTGACCGTCAGGATGAAATGGCTCTCAGGCGGAGGATTGAACTGTCGCTTGGAACTTTACAAACTTCACGCATTACTAAATTTCGGACTTTATAGGTCATGGACCCGATTCACAGATGAACTCGAATTTTTGTGTCTGACTCTTCTAGTGGTATTTTTCCGTTCAGTTAACTACATTGAAGCAGTCATTCGGCGGGCGGTTATTCGTCCAGTGACTGTTCTACAATGGAAACCGTCCCGTGAAACATTGGCCTCGTAATCTCAAGGTTCTTGGTCTTTATCCTATCTTCATTCACGTTTTCAAAAAACAACCTCGAAAGGTTCAGGGAAAACGAGATGGTATTATGAAGATTTCGCATCAAGCTTTCATATAGGTTTAATTTCAAGACATACCGACTTTCATTGGTGTTACTAACGGGTCCCACTGCGTGAAAATCAAACCGCTACGATTTTTTTTAGAAAAATCCCTTGCTTGAGAAGCATCGGACGGAAAAGCGTGTACCCTAGTTTGGAAAACGAAAGAGCCCTTGAGAAGGAGTTTTCTGGAAAGGTGAAAAAACCATCAGATGTGGGATAACATCGAACTTTTGTGATGCGATGGAGTCGCTGTATAAAGGGTCCTTCAAACCGAGGCGACCTGTGGATTTCCCAGGGGATAATGATTACAAAGATGTCGGAGAGAATTGACGATATCACGGAAAAACCATAGTTGAAGCGGCCGGGGGGATTTGGAAAGGACTGCGTGATCATGTAGTGGGTATTCAACATTGTATCACTCACCGTTGCAAGTGTATCTGTGAATTTGCACGGTAATGTAATGATAGTTTAATGGTAATAGACTTCTGTTGAATAAGTTATTCCTAGATCTAATCGTTGTGATTCTGATTTGACATTCGATGGCGGATGTTAGAGACATTTCAATCGTCTTTTCATGGTTTCAAAACCTGCAAACTGCCCTAGATGCAGAGCTACTCCCAGGGTGTTCCAATAAAATAACGAGGTTCCCCCTCTCCTTCGATTCAAATCAGAATGCAATTGCACCTGTTTTCTCATTTAATTTGCATAATTTGGAATGAACAGACCTTGACTTTGGTGGTCCAATTTTGAAGACTAGACAATATTGAAATGAAAACAATTTAAACGCTCACAAGTCAACACCACCAATGTCCTTTTAGTTCGAACGACGAGAGGACAAAAAAAAACAATCCTTGTGAAGGCAGGATGCCAAAGCAAACAACTTCTAGCCCAACCGCTTTCTTTTTATCCACTCACCAGTAACAGTAACTCGAGAAACATTCTGAGTGTGTTCCAGTTGCCTGGTGTTATGATACCTATCCACCGAACCGCACTTGCATAAAAACATAGACCTAAAGCCAAACTCACAGTGTGGATGTTTTGCTAGCCAACGTTCCGTTCATGTATTCAGAGAAAGCAATAATACGTCTGATACGTGGTGCGAAACAGCCAGCATGTAGGTAGACTGTAACCCACTTTCGAATCACATACTTCAATTTGTGTCACAGGAAATGTCTTCGATCCAGGAGCAGAGAAAAGCAACCATATGTGTACCGTCCAACCGGTTATTCGTGACAGACTGGGGGGACGCGTAACAGATCCGACTGTACCACCTGGAGTTGTTGATTGACCACGTAACTGGTGCACTCGAACTGACCCAATGTCCACGTTTTCGAAGTGGGAATAGAAGAGATCAAAAGTGGGCAACATGTGCCGTCTAGTCTCATTTGCCTTGTGTTTTTTTCTGAGCTGGAAAACTGTGCGAAAACTTGTCTAGCGATTTTTCTGCGCATAATATTTTATTTTATAAAATACAGCTAGCCCCGTTTGGATAGCCGGCCGAATAGGATGTTCTCCTACAGAAGAGACCGTTGGAGACTGTGTGTGAGAAAAAGGACGAGGTGGCTCTGCGGTTAGAGCGCGAATATACTAAAAGGAAGGTCCGTTGTTCGAGCCTCTTGACTTCACCCCGTCTAGGCTTGGGCAACCTTGCAGTATCCCAGCCCTCATGCTTCCTTCGGGTAGCATGGCAGCTAGGTTCGGAACAGTTTTACAGCTGAACGATTGTCACTTAGTATTTAGTTATATTTCTGTTAGACTATCACCCTTAGGTTTAATCTGTTGAGTATGGTCCAACTGGCCTACAACCCCCCCTAATTCAATAGATTTCTGGTTGCATTTAAACATCTAAACGGAGTATCACGTGAGGTTTTTCCACCGTGAAGCTGGCCTCCTAGTGATATAGTACTGAAATGAGTAGCGCTCAGCCGTCATCCTTAGAGCTAACACAACAGTAGCTTTCGCAAAAAACGTATACAATATCAGCGAAATACACCAATTTGCAAACGAATTTGGTTTTGCGAGAAACTCACCTGGGAGCCAGCTGAATCTCTCCTTTATGATGTTTTCAAGCAACTGAATGTGCTGCACCAGGCAGCCCCATGTTTCAGTTGGTACGATATTCGAGATATCACGATAGACGTATAGACATATACACTACTCATAAGGTCGCTGAAAACTCTTTGACAGCCCACGACCATTTTCGTTCCTCCTGGGGCTCATTAAGTAGGCGTAGTCCCCAACCTTATATTCTACTTGAGCCCTGATTGCACGAACTTAGTTAAATACACTCATTTGCATACCGGTTTGGTTTTGACGGGAGATTCAGCTGGGTTCCAGGTGAGCCTCCCGTTTATGATGTTTTTAAACAACTGAATATGTGTGCGCAACAATTGTCTTTAAGTCACACATCTTGTTAGTAAGACTCAGATATTCAGTAAAAAGCTGACATCCAAATCGGCTTGGATGCCTGTTCGGTCGCCGCTAGATCAGCAAACCCATTTTCGATTTCTAGCCAAATAATCGTTTTTCAGGAACAATATGTACTTTGTGCACTGTTTTGAGCTTGCAGATAAGCTCAGTGGGAAGAACGAGTACCACTCTGGCCATTATGCAGTTTTATTCACTTACTTAGTCCATTCATCCACGCAACAGCCGCGCGCGTTTAACATTCTGACCTGCTGATTGGGTTGGACAAGCAGCACTGCCTTTGGAATTTGGCAAGTTGCGGTGTTTCAGCTAAACTCTAATCCCATGTCATCACTGTCACGGAGCTGTGAACAGTCGTTGTCTTGTCTTCCCACCTTGTACGCGGTCGAGTTTCTCGCCCTTTTTCCGATAAGAAGGGAATTAGATCGATTGTGGGATTAAATGGATCTTTTCCGCAGCTAATTATCCACTGCGACGTAAACATTTTATCTTATTTTCCTCGGACAATTTCTTATCGTCTTTCACCGGCAAGGAGGACGTCACCTAATCTTAACCCAACAAGATTCGAATTTTCACCTTTCCACTTTCATCAGTCTAGTACATAGTTCCCAATCGGCAGACCGCCGTAAATCTCACGGACTCACTTGGCATGTTTATGGCCCGGCTGTGACAACTTTTTTCGGTAGTACATTCCTCTCAGACAGTCTTTGGTCGGCTTCTACTTGGTCCAGTTGTACGCAGCTCGTGAAATACATTCAGCAGCAAGCTAATCTGTGATACTTACATGGACCCTAGCTGGGTCACTCTTCAACTGAACTTGTCGCGCAAAGACCCTCTTATGTTTCAGACACCATGGCATATCTTTTTGATGGAACGCATCACACATAAGTTGGATGGAAACTCTTCGACGGCGGACGACTTCCTTTGCCCGTATTTGATCTCTTCAAGTAGTCCCCGAGTTTCCGTCAACCTACTCGAACCCACATTGTGTGCGATTCGTGAAATACGCTCAAAAACGATAGATTCAGCTTGGATTCAGCTGAGTTTGTCTTTAAAACCGAATTGGTCTGCAAACGGGTGTATGTCGCGTGCTGTAAAGTTTGTTTGAACAATCTTATCTATTTGACTTATCTTCAAAACACTCCTTGTATGCGGTGCTCCCGGCAAAACAAACTTTTTTCCGATCATTATGTTGACAAATTTTGACCAACCACTGTGGCAGAGCTGAAGAGTTTAGTCAGTGAGAAGACCCTTTATGATATTGACTTAGCGCTTGATTCTGTCGATACGGTAAGGTGCACGGAATCTGATAGTATACAAAGAAAAAACTTTGAAGATTGTGCCTAGTAAACATTTTCAACACTGATTGGATAAACTTGGGTCACTGGAGAAGATGAGAAACGTCTACTTGATTGGATATCACGTTTTGGAATTCCGAACCACCGATCCTTGCGGATGTGACGCTTAAACTCGCTCCATGTATACATGCGATCCTGGAGAAAAAGCATCCAAGCTCTAAAACCAGAAACAGAAGTGCGATCGCGGGCATAGGTTCTGAGGATCGCGTAACTTGTTTTCGTGAAACTGTGTGACTTTTTAAGACCATGTTTTTCAGATGACTGAAAAGTTACAATCAATAGCGGGTGAGTAGTTTCGTCGTAATATTTCAATACTAATACTAACGGATATCAATCCTCTCTCGTGAAGTTCAGCCGGTTATCTGACCGGTACAATTCCAAAATTGAAAAAAAGACTCGCCTGATCCTGAGTTTCCTAAACATCTGCACTTAACTAGAAGCCTTTAGGGGGAGGGGCTCGACCATTTTCAACCAGTCAACCAACCCACTACAAACATCTTTTTTCCACTATCTATTTCATTTCGCCGTGCATGCTCTGTAAACAGTGTGGCATCGAGAAGCGTTGTACGTCAGCCGGCCTGAATCTGTCCCTGAAAATTCAATATCCACTTTTTTGTCCTCTGGGGAGTGAGAACCATGTGAGCTGAAACCGAAAAGTGACCTAACCGTTACCGTATTATTACAGCAAATTGGAGTGTCGAGAGCAGCTGACCTGGATTCCGAAGGCTGTTCCAAGCCAACACGGCGAACCAAACGGTACATGTCATCCATAAATTTCTGATTGAATAGCGACTAGTAATGCCAGTCAGAGTGATGTGTTTTACTCTCTGTTTGTACTTAGACATAGAAAGCATAAACTTTTCCGATCGAGCCGCTCCTATATTCACCGACAAACAGCCCAAATTGCGGTGAATACTCACAAAAGTTTGTCAGCATCCTAGGGAATCCAAGTCCAACTAATGTGTGAAAATGAAACACCGTGGATTGGAAACAAACTCGTGACTTAACGAACACATGTTCAACCATCTGGGATGAAAGACAACCAACCGGTTTGTATCAGGTCACATTTGGTCGGATTTGTCAATTCGCGATTTTAAGTGAAACCGTTGGCAGAATTAAGCAATCTTTGTTGTAAACTGCAGATAGACAAAGTTTTGTGCTCATTATATGGCAAATTTACCCAGTGACTTCTGAGTAAACCGGAGAATTTTTATTGTCGAATTTTTTGTCTGATTTCCTACAAACCGAACCACATCAGGCCTTTCTTATTTCTGAGTACTTCACCCACTTGGTCGAAACAGACCCCAAGTTAGGAGGAAAGTGAATATATATACCAATTGACGGGGGGTTGCTGCTATTCCGATTTGATTTTGCCGTACAGTCATTTGTCTTGTCAACTGGAGTGACCGATTGGATCTAGCTAATTTGTACAGTGTTTTCATAGACTTGCTGTTGGTGGGTCGTAATATGGACTGTGTATTGGGGTTGCTGCTATTCCGATTTGATTTTGCCGTACAGTCAAGTGCTTTGTCAACTGGAGTGACCGATTGGATCTAGCTAATTTGTACAGTGTTTTCATAGACTTGCTGTTGGTGGGTCGTAATATGAATAGGACTGTGTATATGCAATATTCGTGGGTTGAATACAGCTCGATCGATATCTGGAAGTGGAGTAGCCGAAGCTCAGCAACCTGAATTTGTTCCTTCACTCTTTTAAAACGTTTTTGAAAAGTGATTTAATTTGTTACCCGAGTTGATCCTTAGTAATAGTAGTTTGGTTGTAGCACTTATCTTGTGTGTAGCTCTAACGAAACCCGATGGAGAGCTTGGATAATACCGGGTTGCTCAAGCGTAGATTTGTGGCGAGATAGCTCAAGTGGTTAGAACGCGAATTTACTGACCGGAAGGCCCGTGGGTCGAACCCGACCTCTGCCTCTCGACTTCCTCTACCTAGGCTTGGGCGACCTGGCAGTATCCCAGCCCCCGTGCTTCTTTCGGGTAGCATGGCAGCTAGGCAGTGGAAGTGTTGCAGCCAAACGATTTTTTTAGATTTGTGACTGAAAAATACTGAGATATAGAGTGGCTTACTTGTATATGAATGAAGGTCGGATGAGTTGAACGGTACCTCTTGAAACCTAGGTTTACGTTTCGTTTTAAATACTGTTTACCATAGGTGCGGATAGCTCAGTGGTTGGGATGCGATTTTGTCGGCCGAATGGTCCATGGTTCGAACCCAACTCCGGCATCTCGACTGCTCCTGTCTAGGTTTAGGCAACCTGCCGGTAGCTCGGCTCTCGAGTTTCCTTTGCGTGACATGGTGGTTGCACACCGAAAACGTGTTACAAATGAACTTTTCATTATTTTAAAGTCCTTGGTTAGAAAATAAAACGACCATATTGGGTTGACTGGAAAGTCATTCACCAGCGTGAATCTCTACAAGGATTCTCTCTCCACAAAGTTGAAGGCATGTGAGCACCAAAGAGACAGGCGCTTTTTGGACCAATGACATTTGCAGTCACAGGGAAAAGATTTGATGGACGCATCCGGTCTTTAGGCGTAAGGCGCCAAAGTTTGGTTTCGACGA